TTAAGAAAAACCATTAGAAAAGGTAAAAATAAAACAAGCACATGGTTAACGCTCCCAGTGCCATCAGCACCTACAGTAATGTGTAAGTTATTTTTCTTATTGATTTCACAGTTTTTACAATAAGTGGTCCCGGTCCTACAGTATTTATTACCCTCTTAGTGCTGCAGGGAGGTGACAGTGTACAAACAGCCAGGTATTAATGTGAAAGACACTATAACACTGTTAAAAAAAAAAAAAAGTCCTTCCTTTGTCCTTGGATAGTATCCTCTAAGATTGGATATATGTAACCATGCTGATGTTAGCATTCACCTCAAAGCACCACTTTTGCCTAAATACAGCCTCACAAAGCTGCTAGCATCTCTGTAGACTCTTGATGATGCTGCCATTTAAAGATGCACTGTTTGCATTTGGGGCCAGAGCCCCAACCAACTAACTGATAATGAAGGCGGCTGTCTTACAAAATTACATATTGCTTTTAATATAGTATTTGTTTGTTCATTATTTATGTCCATGTTGATTTAGCAGTGAGTCATACATAAAGCAGTGGAAGAGAGCATTTGCAATAGTGTGGAAAATCACTGACATTCTCTTCTTAAGAAGTTCGTTTTTTTTTTTTTTTTTTCCCTGAGACATTAAAAGAAAAATCAAAGATCCATCTTCTTAATATTTCAGTCCTTGCAGTCGCTACCTCTTGGAAACTTGCTACCCGGGGCCTTATTAAAAATACAAGCTGTGTGATCTTTCTGTCGGCCTGAAATTCTTCACTTCGTCTCGCTATGTGTCAAAAGCTCCGTCAGACTGCTTGTAGACAGGCAGAAAAAAACGCCAAACAATCCTCATTCTCAACTCTGCTGCAGGATGTGCTATTTCTCAGGAACTTCAGCTCTCACTCACTCAAAAGCTGCTACTGCTGTCTTTCTCCACCACCCCCACATGTGGTACCCTTGAGTTAACCTAATTGCATTCAAGCAAAACCCGGTTGGCCCACTGGATGTCGATTCTGTCTTTGCTTCCTGTTCCTTCATAGAGGAATGTCAGGACTGTCTCAGAGAGCAAGGCCAGTGTGCGGAGAGACTGTTCAAACATTTATATAAGCGCTTGCCCTCAAATGTCTGGGAACTTGGAAGCAGCGTCCTCACTTCTTCATTCAGGCTCTGAACTCAGCACCTGCTGCGGTTATTCTTTTGACTTCAGATGAAGCTATTTTGCCCAGACCTGCTCAGCCACAGCATGATGCATGTCTGAGTGCCTGCAAACATTACTGTAAATTCTTTCACACTCGTCCACTTGGCTTAAGCTGAGAATTTGGTTCTGATTGACATTACAGTGCGCGTTCCGAATCTCTGTCCAGAGCACCTCGTCCGTTTGTATACCTCTAAATCAAATTAACACGGAACGAGACTGTTGCAGTCTGCGTTATTCATAGGCCCGACCAGTAATTTGCTGACTAAGTTGTTGCTCGCTCAGTGCTCACCATGTGGAGCGAAAGGTTTTTATGTGGGTCATCAGCACGGCGGCTGTGCTTCAGCTTCTCCTTTCCCCTGAGAACACCGCACATCATTTCATTTGAAACTGTTGTAAGATTTTACCCTCTGCAAAGGGGCTGGATTGTATATCAAATACATATTGATTTTCAGTATGACTAATGGGATATTTATGGTATAATATACAGAGATTAGTCATCTGTCAGCAGCTGTGAAGAAGTATTTCAACATACAAATTATATTATTACAACATAACGAGAATATGATATTCGGTCCCTGCAGCTACACAGTGACTGTTGCCCAGTGGCTTCAGGCTGTGCTGTTTAAGGTGAAGTCAAGGACGGGCGTGTCAGTATCTCTGTGTGAGTGGAGGTATTTATTTATTTATTTTATTTTAAATTCACTCTCACGTCTGTGCTGCCTGCTTCGTATGTCTAAAGCCTACAAGTGAAAATGGCTACATCGGCAGCCCTTTATGTGCTTAACACCAAACTGCCTCGCAGCTCAGCGGTAGGTAATGATGGCATTATCATTGATCCCCCGCAAAGTAAGTCCAGAGCGATCAATGCTTCCCTGTGTGTTTTCCATGCAGACCGATTAAGCTGACTGTAGCGGAGAGAAGACATTCTGCAGATTAGAAAGCTACAACTGAAGAGATTGAGATTTAGTTTCTATCTGGTGTGTGTGTGTGTTGCTCACAAGCAGAGCTTTAAACCAGCATGTTTTTGGCCCCAGATTAGGCCTAGCAACAGCATTTGCCAACATCTGTCTGCCATTACCCCTGTGACACTGGCAGTCATGCAGCAATTAATCAGACTGTTGTGATAGTTGCCTCTCGTTCACGCTGCACCTCAGGCGCATCACTGAGCAGCAGGATGGAGGTCAGCGTTCAAAGGGCCGTAAGCCCTGGGAGTTTTTACTGTACATGTTCCTTCCTAACTGCACAAGAAACCACTGACCTGTAGTTACTGTGTAGCACCAGAGCACCTTGTCTAATAATAAACTGAGGTTCTTCCATTTCCTCATTTGTCTGTGGCTGCACACCTTTTGAGGCCAACAATACACTGTGCATTCACTTGTCTGATTTATACTAATGCTTTAGTCTAGCTGCCATTTGGAAAATTTAAATCAGCCACTAGTCAGTAGGTTGACAATGTTGTGGTAGTGTTACAAATACAGAAGTATCCAGATGGCCCCATGCTTAGTGCTGCTCAATAATACAGCTCTGTTTGACAAGGTATATTATGATTTAAGAAGGGAATCTAAAGGCAGTATGTTTTGTTCTGTGGTACTGAACCTCACCTGACCTTCAGATCACATTTTCTCTTCTGGTATTGAACACTAGAGGGTTGAAACAAATTGATCCCTTAGTTATCAAAGGAGAAAAATCTAAACATTTGCAAACAAACACAGTCTCAAATATGTGGATTTGTAGTTTCTTTCCTGTCTTATATCAAAATGAATGGGTTATGTTTGGATTTTGGTTAAAATAAGACATTTAAAGATGATACATAGTGGTTTTAGAAATTGTGATGAGGTTGTTTTTTGTTTTTTGCTTTTTCTGACATTTTTGGACTAACTGATTAATCAATTATGACTAATCAGTCATAAGAATCATCAGTTGCAGCCCCGGGTGAAACAATTAGTCAATTAAATTAGTCAATCAACAGAAAATGATTTGCCTATTTTGAATCTTCTTACAAGAAAATTGTGATTTAAGCTTCTCGAGTGTGATGATTTTTAGCTGTTCGTTGTCACACATGATAGGAAACTGAATCTCTAAGGCTTCTCGATTATTGGTCAGACAGAAAAGGGATGTGAAGATGTGACCTCTTTGGGAAATTCTAATGGGATCTCATTTCTCTTTATTTTCTGACATTCCATAGACAAAACGGTTAATCAAGAAAATAGATTAAAACACAATTAAAATAATAGATGTGTGTTTAAAATATGTGACGGATCATAAAGAAAACTGTCTTGTCTTTATAGTATGTAAGGTTTAAGGAGCGTTCAGACACGTAGTTACCTCTCCTTGACAGGCGGACACACAAACACCTGCTGTACTGCAAGATGAGGCATTTCAGGAGAGTCAGGAAGCATCAGAAATGCCAGTCACACGGAGGCAGCAGGGAGAAATGATTACTTGACGCAGACAGAATAAAAGGTGTCTTTTTTTTCTTCTTCTTTTTTTTTTCTTGCTGTGTTTGGTTTTAAGATGGTATCTGTCACCCCTGTGATCTAACCGAGCTGTAATGACAACGTTGCACCCACAGACGTTTGAATTCAGTGGTAGCCCAAGGTATAATAATCCTTATCAAGATGCGCTGTTATGTCGGCACATGGTAAACACCACCTGCATTCCTTTTCACCTCTGGTTTCTGTGCCTGTGTCACTCTGAATTGCACTGCTTTATCAAGGCTGGCTCTCGGTGTTGTGGGTTTAGTAATGCATTTGATAAGGGCTGTTTGGCACTTGGCCTATCGGCTGACATCCTCAGGGCTTGTACCGTGGTGTGATATAACATGAGCCCAGAAAGCAGACTGCCTGCTGCTTGTGGAAAGAAACGATCTGTGCTGAAGTTTAGATTATGCTCATGATGTAGGGATATTTCAGGGACATCTACGCTTGAAGTTACTGTGACTTCCGGTGTTGCAATGGATTTTAGCCCTGAGCTATCTTTTCAAAACATCTGTAAACTGGAAACGCAGCTCTTTGTATTCTCAAACCAGCACCTAACATAAGGTGAAAGTGAGCTGGAGAGGAAGAATTTGAGTTACTTATGCATCGATCTGAAGATGAGACACAAGCCACTGTAGTCTGAAAGCTCAACCTCCAAGGGCCTCAGGAACATCCGGCCAACTTGGAAATAAAACTGGCAGTGTCTGCATCAGAAGGTGCAGCCGATTTCTTTTGTGTTTGTGTTTCTTTTTCTCCTCTGGACTAGTGAAGATAATTCTACCTCACTCTCTGAGATGGAGTGTTATCAGGAATGCTCAGTAATTTGAGTCGGTGATGAGGTCGGGATGCAGGAGGAGGCCTTTAATGAGATTTGCTGGTGGTGCTGTTGGTGTCGGTTTGCCTACTGTGTGTAGTTTACCAGTGATGGCTCTCCCCTGTTTTGTGCTGCAATTTTGAAAGAAAGGAAATTGAAAGAAAAAGATATCCCCTGGCATTCAGCGGCACACTGATGATTTTTTTTTTTTTTTCCTGGACCAAGCAATCATGCACAGAATGCAGTGAAAAACAGGACGAGCTGCAGAGTCTCAGTCTTACAGTGGCTGATTGTAGAAAGCGTATAAATATTACAGATCTACTTAAATGTGTTCTTTACTTTACTGTTTTACGAGGTGCATGAAAAAGATGAGATATTTTACAACAAAAAGCTGAGACAGTTTTTATGGGCTCCGCTTCAGATAGTCAGCTCACGCTTTCTTATAGTTAAACAGTCATCTATTTGATCTTGCTACACATAATCCTTGTCACTCATTGGTTCTTTTTTCTGTTCTTCTGTCTCAGGTTCCTGTATTAAGAAGAAAGACGAGGAGATTTCTGAAACTCCACCTCTTGAGGATTTTCTGATAAGGGGTCAGAAAATGAGCACATTCCACATAGAAACAACTGGCCCACCCAGCTATCTCACTCACCTGTGAGCAGCCATGCATCACCCATCGAGGGGCACCCCTCCCCAGCTGCGGGGCTGTTTTCTGACATAGACTTGGAAGAATAGCTAAACCTCTTAATAGAAATGGCATTAGTTTGTGTGGGCTATAACACATCAGACTACATATTAGAGTACAGGTGAGGCTGAATTCCTAGCCAATACCCACGGGACCCTTAAGAGGAGGTAAGCAGCCTCAGATGACCTTTACAGAAGGACAGTGCTACATCCCAGCTTTGATGATTTAGTATCCCACTGCCTTGCTGACAAGGTCGATCATGGCTGCTGCTGATCCCCATAGCAACGGTTCCTTGGTGGGGCGAGGAGCAGACTGAGGGAGTCAACAATGCAGCGTAACGGTGGTGGGGTGGGTGCTGGAGGCCAGCCATGGGTGCTGCGGCGTGTGCGTCTTACATGGCTCAGTTTCATGCTCTTCTTTATCCTGGTCTTCTTCCCACTCATTGCCCACTACTACCTCACCACCATTGACGAAGCTGGAGGTCCCGATAAGCGTATCTTTGGGCCACGGCCCGGCGGTGAACTGTGCGAAGCCAAACATGTGCAGGATCTTTGCCGCATTCGAGAGTCGGTCAGCGAAGAGCTGCTGCAGCTGGAGGCCAAGAGGCAGGAGCTCAACGGGGAGATCGCCCGACTCAACTTGCGCATCGAAGCCTGCAAGCGCAGCATTGACAGTGCCAAGCAGGATCTGCTGCAGCTCAAGAATGTGATCAGCCAGACAGAGCATTCCTATAAAGAACTAATGGCTCAGAACCAGCCTAAGCTGTCGCTGCCTGTCAGGTTGCTGCCAGACAAGGAAGACCCAGGACTGCCACCACCCAAGTCTGCGCACTCCTGCCGCCTGCGGTCCTGCTTCGACTATGGGCGCTGCCCTCTTACGTCTGGGTTTCCTGTGTATGTCTACGACACAGGCTCTTATCCATGGGGGGACTATCTGGACCCACTGGTGAAGCAGGCTTTTGCAGCATCAGTTAAGGGCAACATTTATGTAACTGACAACCCCAGCATTGCCTGTCTGTATTTGGTGCTGGTAGGGGAGCTACAGGAGTCCTCCTCCCCACTGCCATCTCCTTCAGAGCTGGAGAAGCAGCTAAAAGCTCTTCCTTACTGGAGATCTGATGGACACAACCATTTACTGGTGCATCTCTCTAGAAAGTCCATGACACAGAACTTCCTGTATAATGTGAGCACAGGACGAGCAGCAGTCGCTCAGTCCACCTTTTTGGAGCAGCAGTACCGTGAGGGCTTTGACTTGGTTGTGTCCCCACTGGTTCATGCTCTCTCAGAACCAAACTTTTTGGAAGTGCCCCCTCAAGTTCCTGTAAAGAGGAAATACCTCTTCACCTTCCAGGGGGAGAGGGTGGAGTCACTGAGGAGCAGCTTGCAGGAGGCGCCCCCTCAATCTTTCGAGGAGGAAATGGAAGGAGACCCACCAGCCGACTACGACGATCGCATAATTGGCACCCTAAAGGCAGTGCAGGACAGCCACTTGGATCAGGTGCTGGTGGAGTTCACCTGCAAGAACCCACGGACAAGTTTGCCGACTGAGTGGGCTCTTTGTGGAGAGAGGGAGGACAGGCTGGAGGTGCTCAAGGCTTCTACTTTTGCCCTGGTGATTGCTCCAGGAGATGGACAGCTGGTGGCCTCAGCAGGCTGTGGAATGAGGCTCTTTGAGGCCCTTGAGGTTGGAGCCATCCCAGTTGTGTTGGGGGACCACTCCAGACTACCTTACCACCAGTTTATCCGCTGGAGTGAAGCTGTCATCATAGTCCCCAAGCCTCGAGTCACAGAGCTACACTTCCTGCTGCGCAGCCTGTCAGACAATGATATGCTAGCTATGAGGCGGCAGGGCCGCTTCCTGTGGGAGACCTACTTCTCCACCTCGGAGAATGTTCTCAGCACCATCCTTGCCAGCATCAGAACCAGCATCCAGGTTCCCGCTGCACCCATCAAAGAGGAGCCCGCCCACGAGATCCCTCACAAAGCTGGGAAGCTGGCAGGAACTGATGCCAACCTGGCTGACAATGGTGATCTGGATTTGGGTCCCGTCGAGACGGAGCCCCCCTACGCATCTCCACGCTTTCTCCGCAACTTCACATACACAGCTGCAGACACCTATAGAGCATGGAACCGGGCCCCAGGGCCTTTCCACCTGTTTCCTCACACCCCTCTTGACCCCGTGCTGCCCTCTGAAGCCAAATTCCTTGGCTCCGGTACTGGTTTCAGGCCTATAGGTGGAGGTACGGGAGGGTCGGGGAAGGAGTTTCAGGCAGCTTTAGGAGGGAACGTGCCGCGAGAACAGTTCACTGTGGTCATGCTGACATATGAGAGGGAGGAGGTGCTGATGAACTCTCTGGAGAGGTTAAATGGACTGCCGTACCTGAACAAGGTAGTGGTGGTGTGGAATTCACCCAAACCTCCTTCAGATGATCTGTTGTGGCCCGACATCGGCCTGCCCATTGTGGTGAGTGCTCCTGTAGAAAAATCCTTTCATTCAACAAATGTGCACATATCCATCTTAATGGTGTTGGTTTCTTTAGTAAGGAATACATATCTTTCTCATCCTGAGTCTCTGAAATGCAAAATCTGTGATATGTTTCAGAGGTGTTGCAGTTTGCTTAAATACTTTACAATGAACTGTTTGGAAACTCTTCAGGAGTCCATGCAAATTACCAGCAGCTTTACTAGAAGGATGTGAAGGAGTCCGACATCCATGAATAATAAAGATGTGTGCTTTTGAATTAAGCCTGAAAAATAAAATATTCATCCAGTTCATATTCTCACCATTAGTTTGTGATGGAGGCTCTGTTGACAAGTGGTAAGCTGTGAGAGAGCAACTAAAGAACCGGGCGCTGTATTTGTCAGTAATGGTAGAGTCTCTGCTGCAACCTGGCAATGAGATTGGACAAGCTTCTATGTTACTTTTTATTGATTAACTTGATTGATTGATAAGTTGATTGCCATAAATCATTTTCAGTCAGATACCATCAGTCAGACAGTGTTAGGACAAAGTGCTCTGTGTGCAGCGTTACTCAAAATGTTCTCAACCCTATTAACCACCAGTAGCCCTTCGAAAGTACCTACTACTGCTCTAAAAGGCGCCCTCTGTAAATGCTCTTGCCAAGTTGCGTCTTGTCTGGTGCCTGCAGGTTGTCCGCACAGAGAAAAACAGCCTCAACAACCGCTTCCTTCCCTGGGATGCCGTGGAAACCGAGGCCATTCTGTCGATTGATGATGATGCTCATCTCCGCCATGATGAGATCATGTTCGGGTTCAGGTAAGTGATGGCGACCAGACGCAGGAACCTCTACGGATTTATATGAAATTAAAGTTTGCAATCACTTCGGGCACTGTATTGGCGAGGCAGTTAATAACTAATAACTAATTGAAAAGAACAGAGAGATCCTCAGATGAACTGATAAAGGAGATCTTCTCAGGAGAAAGGTGAAGACAAAAATGCAGTAAAATAGAAGGGAAAGCTTTGTGTCTTGTCAGAAATGAAAATGTCCAAAAAATGCAGAAGCATCACATTCCTGGAAAAAACTGAATCAGACAGAGAAACTGAACCAACCACTAGAGACTGAAGCAGAAGAAATAAGAGGGAAAAATGTTGTCAGCATCTCGTATTTATGATTCATTTGCTAATGTTTTACTTAGATAAGCTGAATTTGAAGGCCGTGTTTAAACCAATTAAAAGATCAAGCGCACTGTTAAGTTATTTTGGTGCACCCACTCCTCACCCAGACTTGTCTACAACTTAGTGCTGTAGCAGCTTGTCCAGGCAGGCAAAAATTGGCTCTGTCACTGTGTGTGTATGGGGTCATTCGTCATGAATTATCTCAGACTCCCCTCCAGAATTACCCAGGAATGTTTCCTCACCTCCACCCTCCCCAAAGAGAAATTACGCAGCATCTGACTGCTCCAAAGTGGTCTCACATGAGCTCTTTTGAGACCTCTTGCATCCTCTGTGTCTGTCTGCAAGTTGTTTTTTTGTTTTACTTCCTTTAGTGACTGGGCTCCAGTGTGCGTTAATATGAGCCAAGAGTGATATTTTGGTTTTTAAATAATGATAGATGATAAAACTGCCATATACTAATAGAAGACAACAGAATGGTTATTTAATTGCTCCCACGAGAAAAATAGTTGCTGCATTGCTAACAACTATGACAAGTTGAAACAGATGGATGCAGAATAGTGGCATATCCACAGACAGACACTTGGAATCCAAAGTAATGGCAATAAAAAAAAAAAAGTAACAAGTAACCACAATAAAAAAATGGTTCATAAAACATTGTTCAGAGTTGGTGTTAATTAATTGATCCAAAATTAGGAATTCTGCTGACTTTATGTGTGTGTTCGTGTGTGTTCGTGTGTTCGGCGGTGTCTCACAGAGTGTGGCGTGAGGCCAGAGATCGCATCGTGGGTTTCCCTGGGAGGTATCACGCGTGGGACGTCAACCATCAGTCGTGGCTCTACAACTCCAACTACTCCTGTGAGCTCTCCATGGTCCTGACAGGAGCTGCTTTCTTCCATAAGGTCAGCTCTTGTACTTCACACCCCACACCCCAAAAAAAAAAAAAAAAATCTCATTCCACAGATTTATTTTTTAACTGTATCACAGTCATATAACACACACACATCTCCTTTTTGTTCTTGTAGTACTACGCCTATCTGTACTCCTACGTGATGCCCCAGGCCATCAGGGACATGGTGGATGAGTACATAAACTGCGAGGACATTGCCATGAACTTCCTGGTCTCTCACATCACCCGCAAACCACCCATCAAGGTCAGTGACGGAGCACGTAGTCAGGCGGTTCTCAGCTCAGCATCGACGGGCATTGTATCTCCCTCAGGCCCTGTGTATTTATATTTTTGCCCACTTAGCCTTCCCATTACTCAAACTGACACATCCAATACTCCACACAAATAGTAAATCAAAAACACAAGATCGAATTGGTGCGTTATGCCTGGTTTTCCTCCTGGATTTTTATTGGAAGGACATTTATTACCGTAGAGCATATTTATGGCTAGACAAATAATTATAGCAATCAAGCCAGGGAAGCTGTTGGAACAGAAATGTCATTGCAGTCCTCAATTTAAGTTCGTTTTGATTTAGAGGGGTGTTGATATTCAGGGGTGTTTCAGGGGGGAATTAAGGCCGGCTTTGATGGAGTGTGTTGCATGGCAGCATTTCGCTGCTAGGAATAAGCCTTGTGAATAATGAATTTGGGGCAAGTTTGAATATGGAGTCCTAAATGGTGACAGACTACATTCCTCTTTTAGTCCAAATAAGACAAATAAAGCAGAAAATAAATAGCTTTTGCTGTGCATTTTTATGCATCACTGGTGCTGAATTGACAACATACAAACTCAGTTTTAGTGATGTTTTCCTTTTCTTCAGCATTTCTGTACTTTTATGTTCTTTCCTTAATTGACTTTTTTCTAAATCCTGTGCCCTCTTGCATGGAACATAATGCAAAGGTGGCAGATTAGCAGCTTGAAAGTCTTAGTAATTTCTTTTAAACAATGGGTCTTTGATTTCAGACAGTTGTAGCTGCTTCAGCTTCTCACTTCTAACCGGCACTTTTAATGACTTTTAATATTTTAAGGCTGACTTTTTATTAGTTTTAAAAGAAAGTCTTTATTTGGGCTCTTAAATATGCACTTAATGGCTACATGCATGATGTCATGCTGAACAGAGGCTAAAGCTACATGTCAAGTCAGCATCCTCACCAGTTGATCCGATTTGAAGCCATGGGAATAAAGAACCAGCATTATTTTTGTATTGCAGTGTAGAGCTGGTTAGTCTTAGTATTATGAGCATGGTAAAGAAAAATGTAAGATCAGACTTTCATTTTATTCTAACACACTGTAAACCCGTTTAGCTGCTTAGCTTTCACACTTCTTCAGATTTTCAAACAGTATTTCACTTTTCACGGTACAGACAGCTTTTAGGATCAGGACTAACAAATGTGTTTCGAGAGCGTAGCGCTGTCTAAGGTAACCTTGGCTGGGGTTGCTGGAGTCCCCAAATCCAATAAAGAGGAGGACAGAGATGCTGGACAATGGGGGGGGGGGGTTGTGAACAGTCAATTCCTGAAATCTTTTTCATCTCACATAAGTATCACATGTATGAACGTCCCAAAATATTTTTAAAGGTAACTATAAATTTACAGACTAACGGTTTTTTATCTATCTTAGGTAACGTCTCGTTGGACTTTCCGCTGTCCTGGCTGCCCTCAGGCCCTTTCACACGATGACTCACATTTCCATGAGCGCCACAAGTGCATCAACTTCTTCGTCAAAGTGTACGGGTACATGCCGCTGCTGTACACGCAGTTTCGTGTTGACTCTGTGCTTTTTAAGACTCGTTTACCCCATGACAAGACCAAGTGCTTCAAGTTCATCTAGCATTGGGCTGAGTCGCCCTGCAAAGAGCCAAGAGCAGAGCGGACTGAAGGACAGGAAGTATTTAAAGAGAGCAGCAGCTCCCACTGCGAGCAGTGATGAAGATGGATGGATGGACTGTGAGAGAAATTCACAGGAGGAAAGTTTTGGGTTAGGGTTTTGCCCAGGGGGATAGACAAGTTAACCGTAAACGTTGTTGGCTGGTGTCCTAATCCACAACTCTACTGAAAATTTGAAAAATGGAAGCTGAAAGGGACCACTGCCAAGAAAATAAGCCTTTTCAGTGGATGTCACTCCTCCTGTTTCATTTTCTTCAATCATGCTCAATCATTAACCACTACAGATGTCATTTGCACCTCCTGACGGCCTGCTGAGGAAAGAGGGCAGTTGTACACAGTGTACAGAAACTCTCCCAGGATAAACTCTACCTGACAACGGAGCGATCAGTTCGTGAATCACTGACAGACTGATGTCGGGCTGTTCGGCTCAGCAGCCTGTTGATGGTTTCAGCTCGGAGAGCAGAAGTGACAATGGCACATGGCTGCCACTGCACTTTTCTGTTTGTTTTTCCATTTTACAGTTACAAACTGTACTTCTTGTACATGTACGTGAGAGAAGCACTGATGGTCAGAAGTATTTTATTGAACAAACTTTTTTTTTTTTTTTTTTAAATAATGTCGTTTAAATGTGTAAATCTCTATGTGGAATGAACGTTTTCCAGAACCTCTGCCTGTGGGAGATCAGACACAGACTTAGTCTAAGAACGAGACAGAACCTCGACTGAGGAGTAAAACAAGTCGGCCCGATCATGTTTAGTAGTGTCACATGTCCAAGAAGGAATTCACTTCAGCAGTCACCATAATGCCTCAAACCTGTCATGAAAACCAGCCACCATTTTTGTCATTTTGTTATGCTTACAGGCACTCGGCTCCTCTTTGATGAGTGCTTAAAAATGGCCTGTTTTTTAATGCTATAGGGTGTTTACTAATGTTTCTAAAATTGGTTCGAGGTTGAAGTAGTCATGTCTAAATGTTATAATGTTGACCAATCAACGGTTACAGTTTCCTTTACTGAAGTGCAACAAAGTCAAGAATCACAGCTGCCCAACAAAAACAAGCTTTTGAATTCCTGATGAAGGTTGTAATTATGCAGACAGTCTCCAGTGAAGTTACATGTACTATTAGGGTTATTGGTAAAAAAAAAAAAAAAAAAAAAAAGTTTGAAGGGAAAAAATATGCTTATTTTGCATTGTGGCACAGAGCTGGACAAGAAGAAGCTTGAAAGCTACCATTCTCATCAGAAGGGATCAGTTAGCTTGGCTTTGACAGATAGTAACAAAGTCCACCTAGCAGCACCTCTAAAGCTCACTGAGTAACCTGTTGTATCCTGTTTGTTAAATCCATACAGAAAAGCAAATGTAATGCAATGATTAAACAAATGAGGTATAAAGTATTAATATTTAGTAGGTGGATATTGTTACCACTGCTCAGGCTGTGAGGCTGATTCCTTTGTCTCCAGTCTTTATGCTAAGCTAAGCTAACTAGCTTCTAGCAGTAGCTTTATATTTCAAAAATATGAGAGCGATATCAAGCTTCTCATCTAACTCTCCACCAGAAAGCAAATAAAAGTATTTCCCAAATTTTAGAACTGGCTTTGCATCAGATTATTGATTATTAGGTATGTCCCGCCGTGTTCATGTGACCCTGCTGTATCAAACTTTCCCAGCTCAGACAGAAACGTCACTTTACAGTGTCGCCATATTGGTTTCACTTTGTTTTTGTTTGTTTTTTTGACCATTGATTGATGAATGTTTCCTTGCCAAAAAGGTACGATGTCTGCTGCTTTGCAGCATAATTTTCAGGGTGCACAATGCTTGCTAAAGGGATGCAGTCTGGTACACCTATATCCACTCTGCATGGTACTTTACCAGGAGACAACCCATTGGAGCCCGACACATCATGTATTATAAATCCAAAGTCCTTTGTTTGACCTTGTCAGACTCAAATTCCTGTAATCTGAACAAAATATCAACCTGATAAGATCTCTGTTAAAAATATATTTAGATTAGCGTCTTCTTTCCCAAATTATGTTCTAACTGTTCAACAAAAAGTCCATGTTTCCTGTATATTTATTGAATATATTATGAAAAAAAGATTTTTTTTAAACTGATGACACATGCAATAAAAAGACATTGACATTATTCCTAATGACAAAGAGGATCCAATCTGATTGAGCTGTCATCCTATCTCATTTCCGAGGAAAACTAGCTCGTGCCACTGAGTACTTGGGGGTGGGTCGGGGTGGGTTATACTGTGGACAGAGAGGTCGGCCTATAAGTAGAACGTCATAAATTCAGCTTCTGAAAGAGCCAGTGGGCGCTGGTTGAGGTGTCTTTGAAGCCGAATCCCTACCTGTGAGATATTAACATAATCAGGAACATTTATCTAAGATCTATCTACTGTGGTCTAAGATGGCAATACAGCTAAAATGAATCCAAATTGACACTTTATATTTCTGCACCAGACTTGGAAAAACCAGCCTGACTTCTCAAACCCTCATCACATCTCAACACTTATATCTGGAGCTCCAGGGGGCTTGTAATTACCTGGCTGACTCTAAACCTGTCCTCAGGGCACAGTTTTGGTCAGCTGGTGTTTTGGAAGTAAACCTCTCCATTCCTCCACTCTGTGCCCCCCCACCCCAACCCCCACCCCCCTCAAGGGTCTGTGGCACAGCTGGTTTTTCCGTGGCCTAAAGCAGGAAACATTTCCCTGGAAGGCTGCAGTCACTCTGCTAGGTGTAAGGAGTTGTGAAACTATGTGCTCCTGGGTCTGATCCATGCCTGTGGGCGAGGCTCCAGCCACCTGCAGCGCTGCCTGCACTCCACTAGACTGATGACTGATGACAGCGTCAAACATACCGTTGAAGGCCAGATGAATGGAAATAAAAACTCTCAACATTGTTAAAAACATTATCCGACTAATGTCTTCATTCTTTTCTCCACAGCCTTTCCAGAACACATTCCTGCACTTTGAATATTTGATATTGTAATATTAGAATAGTGAATCAGAGAATGGGCAATAAGACACATTTATCAAGTGACTCATGTTCATGTTAAAACAACTTTTGAGAGCAACTCAATTGATCATGATTAATCACATGTATGCTCGGAGGAGGAATAACCAATCAGATATAGATTGACCCTACATCTGCCATGTTGTACATTCTTTTATTGGTTTATTCAGTAGTATGTTATTCTGCAAGGACACATATAATATTTTAAAAAGCCCATTTTATTTGTGTGAAGTCAAGAATAATTAACATTAAAAATTAACAACAATATAATGTATAAAATAGGAATGTATGAAACAATCAGACATCTGTTGTAAATGAAAATTCTGCTGTTGGTAGAAGAGGTACATCAGAGAGATCGTATCAGGAGAATTAAGTACCAGACTGATGAGTGCAGGAAATGAAGATACTTAGACAGTGATTACAAATAAAATCAAAGCCAGATTTATTCTTGTTTGTTTGCATAAATGGCAAAAAAAAAAAACAGGAAAGAGATGAAAACGTGGTGTAACACGCTGTCAAATGTCCTTAATCATACTGCCTCAGTTACTTTATGAATATTATTCTTATTATCAGACAGAAAACAGGCTCTGTTTCTGTGCTGCAGATCTGTCATAAGAGACCTCAGGAGCTCTTACGATTAACAGTACTTTAAGAGTCAAAAGAAGTTTAATAAATTCTCCTAAAGTCCTAAGTTTAAGTAGGACTAAAAGTGAACAATCTTTACTTGTATATTTTGCTTCCAATATTGTACTTACAGTAGTTTTGAGAAGTACTCTCAAAACCCATAGGCAAATCTAAAGCTCACTAATTTAACACCTTTTATCCTGTTTTTTTTTTTTCTTTCTCACTGGTAAAAAACTGAAGTGTTAAAATGCAAATCTGCCATTTTACATGGAGACGTGGACGGGAATGTTGGTTGACAACCAGCATAGACACTTGGCTACGAAATAGTCAGGCACATAATAATCCCTGTACAACAACCAAAGTGTAAAACACAACAAACAAGATATAGTGTGTTAAGTTGTGAGGTTTAGAGGTGCTGGTAGGTGGATTTCATCATCTCTGGACAGAGCTACTGTATTTAATATGTATAATAGATTACACAGTATATGTATAATTTATTAGTACATTTTTGACCTACATACAGAGAGCAATGTAAAATAAACATCTTCCTTTATAATGGCACCTATTGAGAGGAGAGACCTACCCTGTAGCCTTTATTAAAATTAGAGATAATTAACCCTTGAATGTACACAGTATCGTAAAGGAAAGACTGGCACCACTCTCACATCTGTCCATGAAACATGTAGCTTAAAATAAGAAGAGATAGCGTGGTTCTGTCCAAAGTTAATCAAATCTGCCTACCAGCACCTCTAAAGCTCATTTCTTAACATGTGACATCTCATTTGTTGAATGAAATAAACAAAGTGTAAAAATAACTCCTTGTGATTTTAAGGGGGATTTATGTGAGGAACTATTTCTTGGCCAGTAGCAGTAACTCCCTGGAGTCTCAAAGTGACAACAAGACTACAGCCATGCTCATTGTTTCCCCGTTTCCTCCATGTACTCATCTAACTATCAGCAGAACAGTGAATAAACATATCTCCCAAAATGTCAAACTATTCTTTTAACGGTTTTAAATGCTGGTTATGCACAAATTGTGCTGAGAACAAAATGCAAGCCCCACTTGTGATAAAAGCACTCCAGTGGCTGATATTCCCCTTTTTGCAATCAAAAGCCAATTGTTTATCTGGCAGGAACGCTAGACATCTGGTTTTCATTCAGCCTTGTGAAATAATCTTATAAGGAATAAAACTGTAGAAGTTTGGCTCCAGCGGGAGAAGCGAAGGGATGAGGTGTGGTTGGTTGCAGCACCCCTTACCCAGACCCAGGGTTCGAATGTGACATCACCGGGACAAGGGGAAAGAAAAACGCATCCCACACCCCTAAACTTCACTCAGCAGAGGGATGGGTTGGGAGGGGTTTGCTTTTTACCGAGTCATGGGTGTGGTGGTCTTCGGTAGTCCTTCTGGGGATTTTCTGACTCATAGCTTCTTTCTTGTCTGATGGGAGTTCAACGATGGCTCTGTGCCAGATCAAGACAGCGCAGGTACAACCAGATTTCTCACAGTTCTGGACAATGATTTTCATTTATTTTATTTATTTATTCAATAATACGTCGTCCATTTACTTGTAATGAGAAAATATGATTTTCCTGTAATTTTTTTTTTTTTTTTTTGTGCCACTCCAACTCCCTCCACAGCGAACACAGCTGAGGCTGTCATCGGCGCTGCCTCAGAGACACAGCCAGATTTATTGGACTGCACAGGCTTTTGCATATTCCTCCTCAGCGGGAAGCACCGTGTTTCTACATGAATGAACATGGCTGAGTTGTCAGAAGGCTGAATGGTGAAACAGGCTCAATCTGTATTACACAGGAAAGGAAGCTGCTCTTTGATACCAGTGGCATGCAGAGCTGTGTCCAATTCTGTAAGAGACTCAGCGAGCACAAGTCAGAGTTTCATTCCTCTCGTTTAAAGTGGCGTCAGATGCATAGTGTACTGAGTTATGCAAGACCACGATAATAAAAAATAAAAGAAATCTGTCTTTGTGTAACACATAACTCCAAAAACTGGTAAACCATTTGACTGATAATCCAAATAAATAAGAGGGGAAACCAATGAATGGATCTTGCATAATGTCATGTGCATGTAAACAAACTGTACAAAGCATAGCTTGTAAGCGTAGTTGCAGCATGTTGTAGGCCTTTAGTAACAGTCTTTTCATTGCATTCTCTTTTGTCAATGGCTATGACTGATAGAGAAATGTCTGGTATGCTGGTGGCAGCTGAAGTCCAGAGAAGCCCAGAAGAGACAGGGAGGAGTCTGCTAGTCCTGGACCGAGCTCTTTGGTCCAAGTTTCAGAGACAGAAAATGTTTGGTAGTGTCTTAACATTGTCCTGTAAACAGTAAGTGTACATGCAGGTTTTTGCTGTAGTCATTTTGCTGTTTCCTTCTGTTCTTTGTTATTTCAGTTATAATAATGTCATTAATTGTTTTTAGTCTGCCATCATTTTGTTCTGTCAGTACAGAGGCTGGAGCTGGAGTTTACACCTCCACTGATAAAGTCAGTGTGTCTGCCTCAAGAGAAAAGTGGCAGATTAAAGGGTATTCATGCAGTCTCTGGCAGTGAAGACTGGGAACCCATGCCCTCACACCTGTATGCAGCACACACACACACACACACACACACATTCACGCATACACACACACACGCACACACACACTTCTCTCTCACAAGGTGCTTCCTCCCCGTGCCAAAAACTCTGAACGCCCAGGGAATGCTGTTAATATAAATTCAGTCTTTCTGAGTCTTCCTTCTATGTGTCGGAGAGTGTGTGCCAGTGGCAGACCTGCTGTCCCTCCGCCTCTTTCATCTCTGTCCAGTGGGCCTGCTGGTCCTCGCCGGTGCTGTTGAGGCCCAGGGAGACCCAGCCCAGCCTCTCCCTGGGCCTCATGCTGCTCCGGCGGCAGAACACCGACACCACCAGGGACACCTCGGACAGCTGGAAGAGCGCCACCTGGAACACGAACGTCTCCTTGTAGGTGGGGTTGGGCTGGCCGCGGCACACGGCCGTCTTACACTTGGACATCTCCTTCCCCTTGGAGTCCAGCATGGTGAGCTTCACATAGGTGTCTGAAAGGAGTCGTGGGAGAACGGTGAGAGAGTGCCATCAAGTGGTGGGACATGAGTACTGAGAAAATGTTCGATGCTGTGCAGCAGTGGTTTTAAGTAGGCTTCCTCAAGGCCCACTACAATAGACATTTTCCCTCTTGTGCTCTAAACAAAGACTGATTTAAACTTGAGAAGCCACATTACAAAGACAAAGTCCTGAATGTCCTGAAAGATGAAATAAAATCTTCTGTCAGGACTTGGGAGGCTCCAGACCAAGGAGCTCTGGTGTCTCAGTAGAAAGCAGGACTGAAGACCAGTGCTGTACAGTAGAACCTGTGTTTTTAAAGGGTCAGTTCACTAAAAATTACAAAAGTATATATTTTCACACGTGTCCCTTGTTTTATCTACCAATGAAGAGTTTTCGTTGTATTTGTCCTGTTTTTTTATCCACACTGTGGATAGTTTTCATTTGAAGTACTTTCTACCAAATAAAAAACAGCTGTAAACTGGTTATAGTGTGGTCTGTGAATAACAACAACACTGATTCTGGAAATACATGTTGCTGTTGAAATGTTTTAACCTTTAACCTCCTGTTCTGCCTGTGGGACACTGGCACCATGTAGAGCATTCACAGACTGCATGTGTTATGAAAAGTTACATGAATATGGAAATGTAAATATATGCATTCATAGATAAAACCTTGTTGAAACTAGTTCAACCTTAAACAAAGAGATATAACGTCTTCATTAGTGAGCTTTACAGAGCTAGCGTCAAATTTAATACGGGCACGGGAGTTGTATCACTCATCTAGCTCTTGGCAAGAAAACTAATAAGCCCACTTCCCAAAATGTTGAACTTATGTCTTCAAAGAATTGAATGTTCAATATTCAAATGTGGACACAGAAACTAAAAAACTTTCTGCTTGGCCAGACACCACAAGAAGTACATATGTTGTTATACAAAGATAAACCAGCCCTTTTTTTTTTCACTTTATCCAATGAACCAAATAACTCAAATATTTTTATCACTGATTACCCAGAGGTTACAAGTAAATCACTGGTGACTTACCTCTCATGATATAAAGCTGTCCCCCTACAAAGTGTTTTATACAACAAAACAGACCATCTGTGACACACACACACACACACACACACACACACCACACAAGGTTGGAAAGAAGAAAGAGACGTAGCAGTCAGAAATAACAGATTACACACCAGAAGGTCAGCTTTCATGGGAAACTCTGATAAGCGGCAATTGCTTTGGCATTATGGCTTTAATCGCTTTGAAAAAAAAAAAAAAAAAAAGGTTTCCAGGAAACATTTAAATGTAATTGTTCACAATTTGTTTTTGTTACATGCTGCTGAGAGTTTTGCCCATCTGCTCTGCCAAAACAATTGCCTGGTGTATCGGCACCCTTGAGAGTTAGGGATAATACAAGGGAGAGTTTTACTGTTCCAAGCTGGCACAAAACCCCACAATGAAATGCTTATTAAACATGGCAGCTTTTGTACTCACTGACGGGCTTATCGGACGCTGTGGTTTTGAAGTGGCTTCCCTGGATGACCTCAGCAGACAGCCGCCCTGTGGCAGAGTTGTAGATGAGACCCAGCAGGATCTCCGGCAAGGACGAGTCCTCGGTGGAGCGGTAGGACAGAGCTCCTGCGCTGCGAGACACGCTCACCAGAGAGCCACAGCCCTGCCAGACGAAACGCAAAGAGTAAGTCAAAGAAGATGGAAGGTGTCAGTGGGATTATTACAGTATGTACAAAGTCTTCCATGGTCTGGAGTCATCACTGAAGATCAAGGCATTCCAACACTGTTTGACCTTCATGTGGAAAAATCAGGTCACCAAGTTACATAAAGAACATTACGGCCATGTTAGCGGCACGGCTACAATGAGAGGTTGAGTTTATTAACTGATTTTTCAATCGACAGGCAATTAATTGGTATTTCTTTTGATAATCGATTAAACATCAAAGTCATTTTTCAAGCAAAAAAGACAAATATTTGTTGGTGTGAGATTCTTAAATGTGAGGATTTCCTCTATTTCATAATTTTATATTGTAATACATTGAATATTTCTGGCTTTTGGAAAACTAGTACATGACCAAACAATACGTATGAAAGCTTCACAGTAACAATGGGTATTTTTTAAAACATTTTTTTAAGTTTTAGAAATTAATTTAATTTAGAAAACAATCAGTAATGAAAATAGTAATTAGTTGCCCTTTGACTAATTTGTGGTGGTAGAAGTAGAAACACGTCTACAGTTGACATTTGTTCACTGTCAATCCAGCATCACATTTCTTACAGACAAAACTGTGCATTGGGCAAAATATAAATGCACAAAGTGTTCTCACTGTAAGTTCAGAGCCGGGCTCCAGGGTGACAGGTAGAGCGATCTTGCCCTGCAGGTTCAGCTTAGTCAGGTAGAACACCTTCTCTCCCAGGACCTTCTCTTTTTTCATCCGCCTGATGCTGTACAGGCGGAAGCGAACAGCGTAATCCCCCAGAGCCTCCTGTTCCACTCTGGAAAACTTGAATGTTTCCGTGAAGACAGGACACGGGCCCTTCTGTACCCCAGTCTTGGCCCGCTGCTTCTTGGTTGGCAGCAGGACCAGGTGGACCTGCCACGAGATGTTTCCTGTCTGTTTGAGGGCAGGGATGTCTGTCGCCGCGGTGACCGTGACGGCCAACCACTGCTCGCTGGAGTCGTACTCGAAGGCGACGTCCAGCGTGCCGTATTTGGCGAGGGGCTCTGGCTCGTAGGCCGTGGGGAGCTGAGGCCCAGAGCCATCCTGACATGAAGAGAGAAGCAGAGGAATAGTGAAGGAAGAGAGAGAGGCCTGAAACAGTTGCTACGTATAACTCCTCATAAGTATTCATCAGTTTTTATTTACTCTCACTTCATTGAGATTAGCGTTAATGTCAGATAAGTGATGGTGTCAGCATGTGCATCTGGTTAAACTTAACTAGATTATTTTATTTGTACTAACTGCTCTTTTAAATACTTCACCGTATCTGTCTCAGCTTCTCAGTTTTTTCTGATTTTCACAATAAAATACGCAGATTTTTTTAAAAGGCAGATTAGTTTAAAGTGAATTTTTGTATTTCCTGCTGCAAGAAACAAAGTGTATTATTATTGTTTGTGTTGTCCATAATTATAATTCAGTTATTTGTACCTTTTAATTTTTTATACTATGTGCATGGTGAACTACAGAGCTGTACAGATCTAAAACGTTGTTCTGTCATGTTCTGCTTTACGGCACAGAGAGGGGAACATTCAGTAACTCTGATCTCACCTCTGGTCCCAGAACAGCGGTGCTGTCACTAGGTATGTCCTCCTCACAGCCTTTGTTGAGGTAGCTCTCAGTGTCCTGGTCCACGCTGGCCTCACTGGAGCAGCGGGGGCTGTCGCAGCGTTGCGGGGACGACCCCCTCCGAACCCCTCGCTCTGAGCGGGAACGAGAGGACACGCAGGCCGCCGGGCCCTTGTCCTGGTACGGAGGAGGCTGAAGCTCAGTGAGAGAGGAATCTTTCTTTATCCTCTGGATGCTGTTGGCTGCAGACATGACACGGTGATACAGATGGAGTAATGTGAGATGGAAGGAGTGTTACTGGAGACATACTGTGCTCTGCAGAGATACTCATTATGCATGCAACATACAGTCTACCACAGAGTTAACCTCTTAAACTGTGCCCGACCCACGGGTGAGTCCATCTTTACAAGCCCATGTTGTTATTTTAAATACTTGTGTAGTATATCACTGCATTCATTGATGCATCCATTCACAATGTGGCATCTTACTGTATATTATTGTGCAATGTAGTAAAAGTTAAATTAAATTAAATTAAATTAAATTAAATTAAAAGACAGTTAAAGGAACAGTTCCACATTTTGTGAAAAAAATGTTGCTCTCTTGCTGATCTCTTGACAGCTATCTGTTAAATGAAGGTAAATACTACAGTATATGAAAACATGAAGCTGTAGCCAGCAGCCAGTTAGCTTAACCTAGCATGAAAACAGGCGGAAACAGCTAATGAAATCCACCTACCAGCACCTCTGGGCCAAGAAATGTTCCAGCACATAACCCCTGTTGTTTTTTACACTTTGGTTTTGTATGTTTTAAACAAATTAGATTAACGTGGTAATTAGCGATCTTTGGAGGTGCTAGTAGGTGGCTTTAGTTCCAGTCTTTGTGCTAAGCTAAGCTAACTGTCTGCTGGTGGCAGCTTCATATTTTCATGCATATTTGTACAGCATTCACAGAGATTGATATATCTACTGTAGCTCTTTTGAGAAATTGAGAAACCATGTGAACCATAATGTTGACCTACTTCTTTAGCATGAAATATAAGGGGAAATCAGTCATTTGAGAAGCTTAGATAAAACCAAATTCACCTGAAACTCCCAGCATGAGAAAAAAAAAAACAATTACTCAGTAATAATAATACATTTCAAGATATGAAAAAGGTGAGTTTCAAGTGACAAGCATTTATAGCTAACGATGTTTTCAAAAGTACATGAGCATGTTCCCACCTTGTTCACTGGAGGCCTCACTGCTGTATCCTCCCTGCTCAGTGGACCCTTTGCGTTTGCTGCTCCACACAGAGGTTGTGTCCTGCTGGGCCACGGCCTCAGGGCCTCTGTCCTCCTCGCTGTCTGATAAAACTCCCTCTGCACACAACACACGCACGCTTTAGTTCAAACATTACATTTATCTCGCCAAAACACGACATGTACGGTGTGATGCCCCGAAGAGGCAAAGAGCACAGGAGCTGAGATGCAGATGCTTCAGAAATTCAGCGATGTGAAGAGTTTCAAAACAAGAGAAGAGGAAGAAGAAATACAAAGAGTAGTGGTGAGAGAGAGTCGGCACACCCTCTAACCTTGGTTGCCTTTCTTTTTCTTCTTGCTCTTCTTGCCTTTCTCCTTCTTTTTGGCCACATCTGAGGCTTTTTCTGATTTCTTTGAATCCTCTTTTGCGCCTTTTGTCTTCTTCTTGTCTGACTTTTTCTTTTTCACTGTTGAAGACTTTCTGGAAAGCTCAGCCTCTTCCTCGTCGTCTCCCTCTCTCTCCGCGCTGTTCTCCTTCTCTTCCTCCTCTTCTCCCTCTTCTTTTTTCTTCTTCTGTTTTGATATCCTGCTTTCAGTGTCGGGGCCAGGTGAATGAGGAGCTTCATCACAGTCATCGCTTCTCTGCTGCGCAGCTGATTGGTCTCCACTGTCGCTCGCCTTTCTGGCTTGTCCTCTGCTGTCGTCTCTCTTCTCATCAGCTTCCTCCTCTCGCTCTCCCTCTTGGGATTCCTCTTTCTTTCTCTGAGATTTGGCTTCTTTCTCCAGCTGCTTCTCCCTCCTTTCTTTTCTCCTCTGCTCTCTCTTTTCCTGAAGTTCCTGCTCCTCTTTCTTCCTCTTCTCTTCCTCTGCTAACTCAGCTTCTGTCTTTTTAACTCGCCAGCACCCGTCCCTCCATTCCCACTCCAGCTGGCTCTGAGTGCACTCTGCCTCTGCTGAATCACCGGTTTGGTTGTTTTTGGAAACCGTGTTACCTGTTTCAGAGTCTCTGGACATTTGCCACATGCTGCTGGCCTTTCCTTCCTGTGCTGTGGCAGCCTGACCAGACCCCTGCCCGCTGCTGTTGTTTTCCCCATCTTCCTCCTCTTGCACCTTGTTGATGATAGTGGTGACCTGCTCAGTCAGCTGGTCGCTGACAGCGTAAGTGACATCGCTGACGGCGTTGGCCAAGTCGTCCACGCGGCTGGTGACCGAGTCCAGGATGGAGGAAATGTTGACAGATGGGAGGGTCTGCTGGAAGCTCTTGAAGAAGGCCATCTCTCAGCCGGGGCGCTCGTCACCACGCTGACCACTAGATTAGCTCATCAGAGGCACTGACACGGACATGTGGTTGTTAGCAGGGTGCGGCGCCAGCATCACAGTGTGTGCTGAGACCAACACATACATGCACAACAATATGACATGTTTGTAAGACATGTTTTCTAACAAGAACTCTCTCACACTGTTTTTCATTTAGCTATTTGTCTTCTATAAAATAAATGTCAGACATTTTTGTAGTAGATCTATTGGAAAGGAAAGCACTGTATTTACCAAACAGCCACTACCATTTGCCTTCTCTGCCAAGTAATTGAAGTTAAGCTGTTTGAATGCTCATGTTCCTATGATTGTGCCACATTCACAGATCTCATTACTCAACTACTCGGCACGTACAGTGTTATTTTAACCGATGAGAACGGTGCGCAAAACTACAAAAAAACAGACTCAACTTGTAATAAACCAGAATTATCATTGAATTTCAGTTTTACACTAAAGATGTTAAAATCATAACATGGCTTATAAAAGCCGCACCTCTATGTCAGCTTGTGCTCATGAGACTGAGGAGAGATGTGTGAATGTACTGTAGTATTATTACTGTAGTATATCCTTTGTTGAATTTGAGGCTTGCAACTTATTATTGTATTTCTAGTATTTATCATGTTATTGTATTTATTATGTTTGTATATTTGTATTTTATTTTCACTTTATGGATTTCATGTAATTTATTCTAATTTTTAAATGTCATTCTATTCTGTCTTAAATTATTTTATTATGGATTTTATTGGATTGTTTTTTTTTTCTTTTTTTTCTTTTTTTTAGTTTTTTATCTTTTATTTTTTGTTTTTTTTGGTCAATTATTGGACAAGTCTGTTGTGTGTATGTTGTTGACAGAATTATATAAAATAATATCAAATTGGTGGCCTAGGTGTCTTTGGACCAGCATGAGATGCACTATGGTCATGACATCATAAAAGTGAGCATTACAATGGTGCAAGTGGTATTGCTATAGCTTTATATACATCCAAATATCTGATAATGTATTTTAGACTTCAAGACCAGCAGCATGTTGTCTGTTTTTTTGTTCTTTATTTGTTGTTGTGTTTCTGTTTTTGGCTGTGGGTGTCTGAGGATTAGGAACAGGATGGTAAATTTCAAAATTCCTAAGTGCTATTGCGGAACCGCAACAAAGCCAATAATCATCCTAACGTGCGTGTAAGTGTGACCACTGTGGTAACTCTGTACGTCGTTGAGTACCTGGCTGGGCGTTCTTATAGCCACTGAGATGTGACAGATCGTCAGGACTCCCCACTGACAGCTTGTTGCTGAGGTAAAGAAAAAACAGAGCCATCAACGCCATGAAGGCTGCAATGGAAGACAGGACACCCAGAAGCTCAGGAGAGACTGAGGAGGAGGGAAGGAAGGGAAGAGGGAGGGAAGAGAAAAGAGGAAAAGAAAAGACAGACGGAAAAAAGAGACATAGAAAACAAATTAGACACAGACAAACATAAGCAATACTGATGTAGCAGTTAAATTTCCAAAGTCAACCAAAAGGAAAAATGTCCCAATGACTATAAATAAAAAGAAACACAGATGGCTGCAAGCTAAAACAAAATGCTATTTTGAACGATTGGCTTTTAAAGGCTGTAAAAGCTCTACTTTGATATCACAAATCATTTGGTTTGATGATATGCATCTATTTTTGGAATCTAACTCCTAAAATGTTCCTTGTCAGGGGAGCATTAGCTATTGTAGTTTTCAACAGTCAGTGGTTTTCCCACTTCAAAGGCATAATAGATACAATCTACAGCGCTGTATATAGGCCAACCACACTCCATGTAACCATGCAGCCCAGTTGCTGCTGATTTGCTATTTTTATGACAGCCTCAAAGGGACTGTATCTGACTGAAACATAGACTCAGTAACCCAGCAAAATCGCACTGGGCCTGCACTTAATAGGCTACAAACAAGACACACTGCAGTGTAATAGCTGAAGAAAAGGAGAAGTCGGTGGACAGTAAAGCATGAACGGCATATCTAAAGGCCAAATGCCTCAGTGGAAAAGGGGCAGCTTATAAAGTAAAGCGTATTGCAGGTGAGGTTCAGCAATAAGACGACTCTGAGCTTTGAGCCACATAAATCAGGTATAATACAGTTTTTGATCCCCATGTTCGACATGAATTTGTTAGTATTTTATTAGATTTATTAGACTTTTTCATATTGTTATTCTGTATCTCTGCCTATCCTGACCAAAATACTGTTGATTGTTAATGTCATTGTGGCATTCCTGGTTAAACAAAGCTGAATAAATAAACAACTAGAGCTGAATCAATTAGTCAACTCAGACAAGACAGATCTTTTCTTCTGATCATCTACTTCCTGATCATCGCTGCTTGTTTGAATTGGGGTGGTTTTTCTAGATTTTTCCATTTATTTTTCAAAGGCAGGGAAATATCTAACATTCCTAAATTTCCTAAAAGCATTCGTTCTCATTCATCTTGCATGAGGGATTTCTCGTTGGGGTTATATGTTGACGTTAGGTAAACATTGATATTTACGGGTTTTATACTTTGGTGGACTCTGTTATATGATGGAACATATA